AGATGTAACATAAAAAACTTGCTCCTTTATTGCGACTTGGCCTTGGTCTTGGCGATGATATAGGTACTCGAGTTTGCAAGAATGCAAAAATTTTGAAACGGTACAAATAAACTATTTACTTAGCAGTTACACTTACATGCCTGTCGATAGTGTAAATGTTGTTATAGATACTAATTTATACCATATTTAGCACGGCAAGGAAAGACGCATTTCCATACGAGGCAGAAAATCTTCGTTTTGAAGGTTTTTATAAATGGGACTCAATATCTGAAAAATATTTTAAGGGCAATTTGACGGGGAAGATTAGTAAAATTAGGATTGAAACGTTTAAAAAAATGGCCAGAATCTGTTTCAGTCAAATACACTATGACACAATCTGGAAATGAAAGTGTATTTGAAATCCAGTCAAAAACCAAAGTGCCTCTTATATCATGCTATCGATCACATCTACCTATATTAAAACTGAATATGGTGACTTAGCTAAACTTTGCAAGGACCAGGTTCAGGAAACAGAAAAGGACAGATTACCTGAATCAAATATTTAGGATCTTGAGGTTTAAACTGGTTTAAAATATTTGGCAGTTGATTTAAAATTAAAGATTAAGTTACCGTGTCACAGCTCTGAAATCTTCATTCTAAGATTACTAAATCTCTCAATGAATGAAAACCTATTCAGTAAATGTTATTATAATTACAAATTTTTGAATGATATTTACAGTATTTTATGGTATATTTATATTATTTAATGATTAATATTGTGATACAGTTACTTAAACAATCATAAAAATATCTATAGCTTCATATTCTTACATAAATATATTTAAGGAAAAGACTTATTTATTTTTAATTATTTATATTTCTAGTAATTATTTTAGTGCCTAAGTCCTTTAAAACAAATATTTATGTAAAATTATGTTGTTTGATTATTTTTGACTGATATATATGTAAATGCCTACGATTATTTTAAATTAATAGTCATTATAGTTTTACAACTGTTAAAATGCTGGTCAAAATATAAGAAGTATTACATTACATGTTGTGGTATAATTCTAAGAAAATTATTTGATTATTTTAAAGTTATTACAAAGATTAAGTGAAGATGTGTGACGATATTATATGTTACTTGTAATTCTAAAAAAAATTAAAAATACTTGGTGTACTTTTTAATTTTTTTTTAAAGTTTGTTTTAGTTTGTAAGCGTGATTTTGAATCATTGAAGTAATATGTACTTACGTACTAAACAGCTATTTCAAACAAAAAATGTATGCTTCTCTGTGCTAGCACGGTTGGTTTTTATCATAGAATAAACATAGGTAGAATGATCAGTAGGTAATAGTAGATTGTATTGTAAAATAGGTAAATTTTGTCGAGTACAATTTTTTAATTTTGCATTTATTTTGTATATTATATTTGCTTATTTAATATAATATTACATAATACTATATCACAATTACATTTTAATGATATTTTTATCTGAATATTTTAAATGGTAACTATGTCAAATATAAAAAACATACTAAATGTATTAAACATACATACACACAAAACTTATTAATATAACATTTAAATTACAAATATATTCATTTAAATTAATATAAGAGTCATTCATAAATGCTGCACACGCGAGAGTTTTAAATGGACGAATTTAATCCACTTTGAGTTTGATGTGGAAACCTAAAAATAAAAGAAAATAATAATGAACAAATTTAAATATAAAAAATTTGCCTAATTATGATAACCTATATGTTTCTACAAAAAAAATGTGCATAATAATATATTGATAGGATCAAGTACTTAACATAAAATGTCGCATCTGAACAAATTAATTTCATAATCTATATTACATGACACGAGATGGCGTTTTATAGGAACAATTTGTTTTATTATTAATCTGTAATACTTTTTTATCGTAGACAGAGAAACCTATAGACTAATGATTAGCGTGGCCTCGAGTGAGAAAGGACGATAACGTAGTTTTAGGTTACACAATAATCTTTATGACTTTTAAACATATTTAGATAAAATTTTTAATTATTCTAAGAACTGAACTGAATAAGATTCACCAATCTTAAGCTCACAAAACACTTTTTTCTCACTTAAACCAACTTGTAAACTTCTTAGATCGCTACGAACTATCAAAGTTGTTAAGCAAAGTGTAGTTTGCTAAATAAAAAACCGGCACGGAGAAAGGGACAAACAATCACACCGCTCTGTATCATTTCTATGCAAGATGTATGCATAAATCTATCTTTTTCGTGTGCGAATGCGAAAGAAGGCGTCAATTTGTCTATAGGTTTCTCTGTCTACGATAGCCCGCCTGTCCTTGAAAATTTGTAGAATTTATAGTGGCGCTGCCGTCGGTGAGTAGTGGCCGCGAAGTTAGCTGTTTATGAGTAAAAGTAGATGAAGTTAGTTTGTACCAATTTTCTTCGCGGCATTGGTGAGAAAATTTTCATGCTCCGTAATTTTTTAATTTTTGACAAAAAGAAACATTAAAAAATGGAGAAATATTTTATTGTGCGTGGATGTGCAAGTGATTTAGGATCTGATCAGAAAAATATTAGACTGAAAATAACTTTTATTGAGCGAACTTAGCGATCGCAGTGCCTCACTTATGGTGTCCATATTTCTGGGACACTATTTTCTACGGCGATCGTTCTCCTGTTCTCTAACCTCCATGAGTACTATACTCCATGATCTAAACCATGGAGTATAGAGTTACCTCTACACTCCTTCACCTTATCCTTAATCTAGGGTATGTTCCGAAATACAACCCAGTACACTGGCAAATGCAAATGACGTCATCAATTGACACTATGTTGTACTGGCATGCCGCCGCCATATTGTGTGGGATATCCGGCCATAATAAAACAATTTCAAATTGTGTGTGCGCTGAATGAAGCATGCCAGAATTTGTTTTTATTTATTCAAATACAAAAAATTATAGAATAATTGTAGGTATCTCTATTAGGAGGATATAATGATTTTGGAGCACAAAATGACAAAATAATTGCCAACACTTTTCCAATATGGCGCAAATGTATGACGCGTAGACAGAGAATCTCTGTCTACGTTATGACGTCATATACTGTCCTATGTTTCGGAACGAATCACCAGTATATCGTCGATTCATGACGTCACTTGCTTTGGACAGTACACTGGGTTCTATTTTGGAACATGTACCCCTAAACATGCATCAGCGTTGCGATCGATACGGCAATTGCCGTAATATACGCCATTCCACGATTTTTTTAAAGATTATACGGCATACGGCAGGCTTTTCATTGCCGTATCAAGTATTACGGCAATTCAGCTTTGCGATAAACCACGATGGCAAATTATGAACAAAAAATATAAATATTTGTATTGATATCCAAATTTTTTTCGCTTTCGTCATCCGTTAAGTGATAATAAAGAGTGTGGTTGTCTATGACGGGAAATTACCGTTCCATCTTTTATTTTATGAGACTAACAAAGATGGCATGAACATGGCACATGGTAGACATTGATAGAAGTAATGAATGTAAGAGATACACATATTTACTTTGTTTACATTATTGAATGAATGTACAACATTATGAACTATAAGATGTGTACGGTACTTTTGTAGTATTTATTCTGCCAGTAAATTAAACTTGGATCCAATTTGGCTTTTGTTGGAATGGCTGCACTTTCTACAAAAAGCTTGAACTCTTACTTCAAAACACGCGAAAAAGACAAAGACGTCATAGTTGTTTTCCGTCATTGTAGCCACTGGCCCAGCAGTTGCCACGAGTTGTGAGAGAATCAGATAAGCAACGAATTGATGACGAGTGGAGGTTGCTACCAAATGTAAACAAAATTTCAGAATTAGAAATAAAAACATGAATTTTGGGCAAATGTCCAAGATACTACAGACTGCAAAATATTAGCAAATTTTGCTTTAGACGTATTATGTCTATCTACAACATAGCAATGCAGATTGCGAAAGAGTTTTCAGTGAAATAATCAATATGAAAACAAAATCCAGAAGTAAATTGATAACATCCACTGTCAACGGAGCTCTATTAGCAATACAAGCGGTTAAAAATCAAGGACTTTGTCCGAAATTTCAAATGTCGAATGATATGTGTAAGAAAATGAAAAGCAAAGAAAAATATTAATTACATAGACAAACGAGTGATGTTTTCAATCAATCAGAATCCTATATGGTGAAGAAATTTCAGATTTTATATGATTTATTTAATTATTCTTAGAAATAAATACTTTACGTCAATTTCGTGGATTTTTTTCATAAATACGGCAATTTTCGTTTTTAGATACGGCAACTCAATTTTTACAGTCGCAACGTTGACATGCATAGTATCCTCTTAGTCATGGGCGTGCAACTTAGAACATTATTTTGAGAACAAATTGATATCTTTTTGTGCTGCCATCTTTCATGTGGACACGTAAACTAAGATTTACTTTTATCGAACTAGAGGAAAAAACATTAAAATAAGAAATAATTTGGAATATCGATTATAATAATACAATCGCTTCTAAATCTATTCGGATAAAAATAAATATAAACTAAAAAAGCTACTAAGATTTAATTTAAAACAAATATATTACTTTGAATATATGAAAATATTTGGATCCTTTTGAAATCAAAATACGTTATTTACATAAGGAAAAAATGAAATAAACATTTATTAACAATAAATCGATTAACATATAGAATGTGTGGATTCTAGTGTAATTCTCGTTTTGGAGCGATACATAGACTAACGTCTTCTAAATAGTTCGTAGTACTTCTCGTTTTGACACTTGACAGTACAAACTGCAGAATTATTTACTCACTTGTAGTTTCGACTCGTTCGTTTTCTTGTTATCCACGGCTTTCATTCGCGATTTTACTTACTGATCCTGCTTTTTATTGACCCTTGCTTCGTTATTGGACACCGATTAATCTTACTTATATACGACTACCCGGCCTTGTTATTTGGAATACGACAGCCTATCGATTGGATATTGTCATCATGGACCGTTGTGTTAATTGTGGCGTAGCGACTGGTCGCTGTAATACAATAGGCAAACGAGTTTTACTTGACCAAGCAACTCTATCTGTGATCCGTGAATGGTGTGCACCTGAACCTGTAAGTACTATTCTTTGATCATAATTAATTGATAAACAGTCAATTCTTAGTGGTTCACTGCACACATTCATTTTACATAATCTTTTATCTTTCAGGTAAACAACAACGACTATGCATGTCAGGCCTGCTGGGACTTAGCTCAAGGGGTGGTCTTAGGTAGTCGATCTATAGATGAACCGAGAGCAGTAGGTCACTCCACTGTTTGTCTCCGCTGTGGACGTTCGTTGTCATCACAACGTGTTACTCACCAACTTCAAACTAATTCACCTCGTAAATTGAGAATTATTAATGTTATTCGAGAATGGATTATGCCACAAACTGTAAGTTAAATCAGCTAATTTTTCTGTTTTAATTTTTAGATTTTTTTATCATTTTTATCAAATTCAATCTTGTTTATTTATTGTAGGTGGCGGAAACCAGTCGCATATGCCATTCTTGTTGGGTGTTAGCAGACAGAGTTGCTGTTCATATGATTTCTGGGCCATCAACCTCTAGACAAAATACCATGCCTCAAATACAACCCCAGCTACTAGATACTCGATTATATCACTGGAAGAACAATTGCAATCTCCACCTACGCCTCAAACTATGCTAGAAGCTATGCCTGAACCTGTGCTTCAATCTCTGCCACAATCTAAATCGACTATTGTGTTACCATACTACATGAGGGCTATTGAAACAGAAAGTAGGTGTTTTATAGAAGGATGTCACAGAACAGAAAGGCATAGAGTTCCTCTTTCCACAAAAAAGATGTTACTCAATCGCTATAATTAATATCCTTTCAGCTGCGGAGACTCTAACCGTAATTCTCCGTTGACGGCGGAGCTGTTTAATAAAATGGACGGCTGATTGGGCCCAATCCGTTTAAACGCAAATATCTTGATTTTGGTATATCGAATACTATAATATGTATGTACATTTCTGAACTCTCTATGAAATTTCCTATAAAAGAATATATATATTTAATAAAGTTTAAAGTGTTTAGTATAACAAAATATAGAATAAAGTCAAAACTATCATATTTCTCAACGACACAAAGTTTTTTAATAGTTCAATTTTATTTTATTTTAATCTTACGTCTATTGTTTACAATATTTTATGTGCAAAATCATAGGCTACAATACAATTTTTTATCGTAAAACGCATTAATATTAAGCTTACAAGAACCCACAATCAATTTACACCGATGTAGCATGTAGTTCGGACCAGATGCGGCATAATGCGGCGTAATGCTTTAGTCAATAAAAATAGTTTTTTTTATTATTTCATTACAATGATTCAGTCTTGAATCTCTCTTTTTCTTTACATGATTCAGTCATCTTTCAATAGGTCTTGCTAAGTTTAGAAATCCGATAAAGTATTTCATAAGTACTCTTAATGCCGATATCAAAATTTTAGTCGTAAGTGCCATATTTATTGAAAAATTAATTACTTTATTTGAGCAAACAAACTTTAACAGCACTTGTACAGAAATAAAGATTCATTCATTCCTTTAAAAACCATAAAACCTCTCAAGAATCACTCCCGCTGATGTAGAGTTATAAATAACGTTTTTTGTAAACAATACCCAATGCACCATAATATGTATCGAGTGACAGAGGCGCCGCGAGATGCGCAGCGGTTATGTTACATTTCCAATAACCAATAACATTATTTCTCCAAACGGTAACATATTTCCTTTAACACAAACAATAGCTACGAAATAATAAAAATTAAAATAAATATATCTCTTTCTGAAATAAAAACAATACTATTTATGTATATTTTTAAAGAACCCACTTCTTATGCATTATACAAAAATATGCCACAATTAAAGTTCGATTCTGCACTTTTTTTGTGCATCATGTACTAGTTCATTAGAACATTTTTTATGCGTGGTAGAGCCATGCTGCAGTTATATTAGTAGTATAGTTGTAGCACGAATAGGCCGGCTCGACCGGGGAAGGACCACGCTCTCACAGAATACCAGCGTGAAATAATAGCTTAATGCTTCTGTGTTTCGTATGGTGAGTGTAGAGAACCGGAGAGCCTTTTTGCTGGAAACGAGGCGTTCCATCTTAGTCCTCACGGGTGACACGCATTTTTACATTTTGATTTGTAATCGACGATAGATGTAGATGTCTATGGGCCGCAGAAACCACCACAGGTGGACTGCGTGCTCGTTTGTCACCCTATCCTATAGAAAAAAAACATACAAAATAAAGAGGTGTATTCATTTCAACGATGAGAGCCGTGGTGGCTCGGAAGAGCCGTGGTCGCTCAGATGGTTAGCTCTCGCTGTAAATTTCATAGTACGCTAGCAAGCCGGGTTCGATCCCCGCTAGAAATAATGAAATTGTTAATTGCAATTTTAAGTGCTGATCTACCACGTGCTCGGCAGTGAAGAAAGACATTGTGAGGAAACCTACACGTCTGTGAAATAAGAAAAAAAATATTTCGAAGACATGTGAAGTTCGCCAACACGCATTGGGGCAGCGCGACGGAAACTTCTTTGCCTTGGCCCAGCTGTGGGGCGTAAAAAGGCTGTAACTTAACTAACTTAAGTATTCATTTCGACGTTAAATTTCAGAGTACGCTAGCACACCGGGTTTGATCCCCGCCGGCATCAATGAAATTATTAATTACAATTTTAAGTGCTGATTTACCTTTGCTCGGCGGTGAAGAAAAACATCATGAGGAAGTCTGACTGTCTGAGAAATAAAAAAAAATATTTCCAAGGCATGTGCAGTTCGCCAACACGCATATGGGCAGCGCGGTGGATACTTCTTTGCCGTAAAACTCTTTCAGAAGTGAGGGAAGGCCCAGCAGTGGGACGGAAATCGGCTGTGTAACTTAACTAACTTAACAATTTCGACGATGATAGTCTGAAATAATTAGCTGAACAAATTATAGCTAGGCAACAATAAAAACTAAATGGATGGATGGACATAAGTATAAAATTGAATAAATATATAACATAGGTACTTATTTCTTTAAAAGGCTCCTGGTACTTGTTGGATTTACTGTATCTACAGTACAATTCATTTACGAATGGTACTGTAGGTAGCAGCAATCTTGCTATAGGTTGAAACATAACGCAACGTTACACGATTTGCAAAGTAAATACAGATAAAATGTACATTAAAAAAACCAGTAAAAGAAATATGTGTCTGAGATGACTTTAAAAACCACAACCTGTTCATATTAAATTAATAAATTGTTTAAAAAATTCCGAAGTCTTGTGTTAACATACATGACATATCCAAATGCCACGTTCAATTTTTTATAAATCATCGAGTAATCGTGGAGTCAACCAAGCTCCATTTCTCTGCTCGAGGGCGCTAGATTCTTTACCATTCTAACCATTCAACCGAATTTGAACTTGATGCAGTATGGCAAACTTTAGTTCCTTTTTTCGCCACCCGCAAAACAGAGAACTAGAATTCACTTCTAATGACGTCTCAAAAATGGACACTATTGCACCTATTGCGTATATACATTAAAATTTTGAAAATATTGCACTTTATCCACATTTTGATGTACTAAAACTGTGAACGATGAACAATTATACTTATTTTAACACAAAACTGACAGTCAACACTAAAATTTTACGTACATTTCAAGTCAACTGTCCTCAACCAGCATGTTAGTTTTAAGATAGCAGTTTGCTTCATACATATTTAAAAACGATTTTACACGTACTTAATAAGATAAAACACAAAATGAGATTACAAATAAGAAGATTACTTACCCAGGCATTGTTTTAACACAATTCACCACACAATAAATATAAATTAATACAAAATAATTACAAACAACTTCGTTGTTAGCGCGCGTCAATCACACTAATGGCTGACTCAAGGAAAGGACGACATTTAAGAATGATTTAAATAAAATATACTACTAAAGTGTATAAGCTGTGGGGTTTTTATGCTAGCCTTTTTATCCTGTACACATTGACATATGGTAGAATGAGTTAGAAATAGCGCATAATGCTTTGTTTCTTCATTAAAAGAGCGGGTAAAAAAATGTCTAACACTTGGACGCCCGCAGTCAACGGAGATATTTTCGTGTCCAAGTCTTGGACATCCGCAGTTGAAAGGTTATGTACCTGAAAACAATCGGCTTTGTGATCGGCATTTAGTAATTGAATCGTGGGATTTCCTTGAAAGTTTAAGAAATAATTACCAGCAAACTTTTACTGCAATTCATATTCAGGATATGCTGTCCTTAAAAGATTCTTCTTCCTCGTTATGCCTTAATTTTGAAAGTATTGATGATTTGGAAGACCATGTTATACATACTTGGATTGGGTTGAATAAAGTACAGTTTAATCAAATATTTAATGAGGTTCCTCCGTTAATGGAAGTACCTAGAGGGTCTGTTGCTTTGGCTGCTTACTTAATTAAACTAAGGACAGGTGACTCTAACGATAGATTGTCATCATTATTAAAAGTGTCCAGACGAACTCTGGAAAAATGGTTGAAAGAAATCCGCCATCTGCTTACAGAGTATTTTGTGCCTAAGCACTTAGGTTTAAACCATATAAATAGGCAAGAAATTAAAGAAAGAAATCTTTCAATACCGAATGCTTTGTTTGGAGATTTTGAAGGTGAAAATAGGCCTATTGTAATATTTGATGTGACATATTGCTATATTGAAAAAAGTTCTAATTATCTGTACCAAAAAAGGACATATAGTTTACATAAATATAGAAACTTAGTTAAACCATTTATAATTGTGTGCACTGATGGATATATCATAGACGTTTTAGGCCCCTATCCAGCCACAACTTCAGATGCAGACATCATGAGAAAAGAATTTTCAGATGGAAGAGAGATATTTTATGCAAGGTGATGCTTTCATACTGGATAGGGGCTTTCGTGATTCATTACCTATATTAAAACAATGTGGGTAGAGAATTTACGTGCCTGCTTCCTTAATGAGGGTGAAACACAACTATCAACTAGTGAAGCTAATAATTCGAGAGCAGTCACCATATGCCGTTGGGTTGTGGAGGTGGTCAATGGAAGATTCAAACGTGATTTTAAATTGTTAAGACAAAATTATTCTAATACAATGGCAAAAAAATTTGTGTTAGATTTTGAAGTGGCTGCTGCTCTTTTAAATGCTTTTCACCCTCCCATAGTAGACCGTGTTGATGCTGGGGAACTAATTCAACAAATAAATATGTTTATGAATATCGAAAACGAACTAGCCCATTATATTATAAGAAATAATTACAATAAGCGCAGGGCTGATTTCCAAACAATAAGTATCCAAAATGACAATTTGAACGATTTTCCCCAGCTTACTTATAGTGAACTTATATTAATTTCGTTAGGTACATACCAATTGAAGCAGGCACGTTCTTACTATGGTGAACACATAAGAGCAAATGATGTTTATGTAATTGAAGTGTGCAGGGAGGCTAGCAGCAGTCTATTGCGAGAGTTGTCTGTTTCAAATACCTCATGGCTGCTTAGAGGAAGAATAAATTCAAGGCACATTAGCCGCAAAATATACTTTGTATACATATTGGTTGACAGCTCGCGCAGCGGCCGAGAATCTATTCTTCAATATTATTGTAACTGTATTGTAGGGTAACGCACATTAGGCTGCTGCGCCCATATTATGTCAATTATATGGTACCTTAGTTGGGCAAGGTATCAGGACAATATAATGCCGCCTGCACAGTTCCTTGATGATATTTTAATAATTATTGATGACGATTAAAGTACCTAAAAAAAATTTTTTTTTAAATAATCACCTAACCACCACCCTACTCCTGTCTGGCTGAATTAGGTAGATATAGAGAATTAGGTAAGTAGGCAGATATGTAATTGAGTCATATTAATGTTTGCTTAAAAAACCTACCAAAGTCAAAAGTGTCTGGTTCGATTTCTAATTATCCTTTTTTTCGTATAAAAATTATATTTGTGAGAATAAACAAATTGCCTGAGTGTTCTCGAAGTGTAGCCAGTTTGGTTGAATATTTATTTACCACTTGAATTACAAGAAAGCTTGGAACAGTTTATAATATAAAAGCTGATGTTATTTCAGGAAAACATCGGAGGCGAAGTAAGTAGGCATTTACCTCCGCTTACGCTTATAATATGAGAATTTATAAATATAATTATTCTTTAAAGATTTTACCACCTTTAATACTTGAAAAATATTTATTTACTAGTTAAATAACTATATTATCTATAGTCTGAAATCGACTGTTACAATGTAGGTAAAATATAACCTCACTTTCACTTAATCTTAAATAACTCAGCTCCTGGATTGACAAATCTTGCCAAATTTTCAACTGTGGATTGTTTATATGTAAGCTTTCAAATGATCCAACTTTCATGTTGTTAACACCTGGGCCCAAGAATGTATGGAAACGTATCCGTCTCCTTTTATAGACATAATAAGTGATCTCTCTCTCTCGCTCTCTCTCTCTCTCGCTCTCTCTCTCTCTCTCTCTCTCTCTCCCCTGTGTGTGTGTGTGTGTGTCAGTGCATGTACATGTATAAAAAATTATAAAATACCTCCTTACTTTTTTATGTTTATGTCATGTTAAAAATTGAAATTTGCTATTTATTAACAATTTAATGATTTCAAATATCCCATTTCGGGGAAATCATTGGTCAAATGTTTTTAATTATTTTTGTTATAATCTCCAACACATGAAAAGTTTTCTGAAAGTCGCTAAAGTGTTTTTCTTGAAACATTACAAATTTGATGTATTTGCTTGGTGTGGGGTTGTCTTACAAATGTCATTATTACAATTATTACATTATTTACATACCTGCATTAATTTTCATCTTTTTATAACTTGTTAAATAAAAATATTTTAGTTTTCAATCTCTGCGAATTTGCTAACTGCCAACGAATGTGAGCGGTAAAATACCTTCTATTTACTACCTCTTCGTTTGGAGTGGAGGTCATTTTTACCAGTAAATAATCCAGATTTTATAATATATTATTAGCATCTTGCTAAAAATTTGCCACCAAGGAATAATTTAAATTTAAATTGTTGAACAAGAGTGTATTGAATACTATTTGAATTGTTGGCAAGTAGGATTCATGTTTTCTGCTCCGTGGTTTTTCACTAAGGAGAAAGTATTCAGCAGTGTCTTAGTTAAATTAACGCATTAACTAACATAATATGTTGTTATCATATAGATATTGAAACAAAACTTTTGTCGTATTAACATAAGATATTGTCCAATTTTTACTGATGGAAACTGTTTAAAATGATTACATACACTTCCATCTCTTTTTTAACTTCCTGAAATCTCATTGTAATAGGTAAAACTTTGTTTCATAGCATATACGTTCCGAGTTATGTTTTAGACACTTTTTATAAAATCTTTGATTAAAGGAATTAAACAAAATCAAACAAAACTGACTAACTTCTGTTAGTCAGCCATATCTGCAGTATCTTTTATCTCTTGTGGTAATTAAAATGTTTTGAAAATAAAATCAAAACAAAGTTGTTAAAGACAAATATTTATTGAACATTAATTATTAATATGTAAAGACTTATTTGCACAAAGTCAAAGACAACCTAATACACGTTGGTTAAAATTCGTGCTTTACTCCTAATTTTAGGTATTTTATCAGGTTACACTTAGGTATATGTCAGCTTACTTATGCATTATCTAGTAGTTCATTTTCTCCCACATCACTATCTAAGAGCAATTATAAATGCTCCCATTTAGCAGTTTACTACGTCATGCGTATAAATCTTAATTCTTTTGAAATAAAATTTCCCCTTTCGATAAGTGTAAGTATCAAATAAAGAGAATTATTTTTTATTTTAAATTTCAAAAGCATTCTTGCTGTCTTTGTCCTATTAACTTAATTATTGCTTACTTTGGTGTTAATTGTAAATTGATCATAGACACCATTTAATCATGTTTGTTATAAATCTTTTATTATATATATTTTTTAATTACTACCATCTTAGCATTTTTCTAAAATCTATAACTAGTTGATAGCTTAATATGAACTTTATCTCCTTTATCATCAAACCAAAACATGTTCATGGTCATATTTTCACTCTTAACATCCTCAGTCCTCAAAACCTATGACATTTGCATTGTAATGTAGTGAGGAGAACACTAGCATCTCATCAAGCATTTAGAAACTCAAGCACTCTGCCATGCTCAAGCGTTGTTCTTTCGTTTGCTTAAATATAATTGAGTTTATATCTGGTTTAATTAGTATTTATGTAAGGACATTTTTAATGTTCGTCTTTGCCAAACAATTTGTCTTCGAAATTGTACCATCTTCCACGATATTCATATTATGCTGTACTAACTGCACATTCAGGAATATGTGGGTGTGCATAGTCAACGATATCAGTTTTATTGAAATATTATTTCTTAGTATTATTTTTGTTGCTTTATGTGATTATATGGTACCTTCCACAATTTATTAGATTGATTATAATTTCGCAAATGGTTTGTGAGGTTGTCTTATGTATAAGTATGTTATAATACATATATAAAATGCTGATTTTGTAAAAAAAATATATTGATACTTATACATTTACAATGGTATAGTGGGCATAAGAAAGTCACTTTTGTACATTGTTTGTATTTTTAAAAGTATAGTTATTACACACATTTAAAAAAAAAAGTTTTGTTACCAAAATATGATAACGTTATCAAGTACATATTTTAAAGATTAATAATGCTGCTACAGAATGTATTTTTTTATATTAAGTTAAAGATGTACCACTATTAACAATTAATTGATACTAATTCTTGAAATTATGGAAAAGAAGCAAACCTTTGGAGAGGATTCAATTATCAATGTGCTCTTAAATGGGAAGTAGTTGAGTCTTGTGGATACCACAGTTTTTCTTGGTATTAGACATTGAAGCCATATTTGTTTTATAAAAGAGAGCCGTACGTTCAATTTATATCTTAAATTGTAAAAAGTCGCGTAGAGAAAAATTTAAAGAAATAAATATATTAACTTTGGCATAGCAATAATGTATGTACAATAATGTATGTACAATAATGTATATATTATTGTACATATATATATATATATATATATATATATATATATATATATATAAATAAAAAAAAACTGAGTCAGTAGTGCTTTTATGGGGCAACATATACGCTTTTAAAACAAAATTTCAGAAAATGTACAAAATTTGTCAATAAATAAGTTGAAATGTTTTATTTAAGGAAAAATGTACAAAAAGTGTTATTATAATATCAAAAAATACATCAATAGTAACCCCTGGGATTGAGGTGATCGCCACCATGCCTGTACTATTAAAATTTATTTAAAAAAATGTATAAACAAAAAGATTGTAAAGTGAAATATGTTTTTAAAAACGTCCCGCTGGGTTTCTTGTTGGTTCTTCCCAGGACAGAGGTGTCTGTAGTAAATAAAACATGACTTTCAATAAGTATTATGTAATAATCTATATTTAATAATAATAATTCTATTGTATTGTATTCTCTGTAACATAATATATTTCCTAACTTAACTAACCAGTTAAAAAGAATGTGTTTAAAGAAATCAATTGATATTGTGCAAATATTGTTAAATTTAACACATCTAATGTTAATAATTTAGGCAAAGAATTTTTAAACAATAAACATTTTAAATATATCCGGTTTTTATTTTATTAATAGGAACTAGCAATTAGCACAAGAAATATAAAGAACCATTAATTACATTGCAGCACTTGTGCAATGTAATTAATGGTTCTGAAAATAAAAAATTGTAAAGTGCAAATAAAGGGCGGGCCCAAAGCACTCTTAATTTTACGCCACCTGACGGATGGACACGGAACTTAACGTAAATAAAATTTGAGTTGCTCATCTATGTCTAGTATATGGTCAGTAATCTATGCTCTTAGTGGTCTGTGCCCTAAACTAACCTCCATGATCTAAACAATAACAAATTTTAATTTTTTTATGGAATTTACTCCGAATTTACTACATAATTAAAATTTATTTGTAAAAATTACTGCGTTTATAAATTACTTTAAATTAATTTTATACTTACATATAGTTAGTATGAAGATTTAACACATAACAAAACACTATTTTTTCTTAGCAGAGATATATTGCCTGATAAATAGTATTTGAAGCAATTCGATTTATATATCATGTCTATCACGTATGTTCCGAGAGTAACTCAGGTAAATATAATTTTTCATATTTACGGTGTTAGGTATATACATTATAATTCGCTAAAGTTTTTTTTTCAGCTAGATTCGGTACAATTGGATGGCCAAGTGGAAGAGCTGTTTAAACAATTATTATTCAATGCCACAAAATTCCTAGAGGTCAGTGTTATATTGTTTTGAATTACACTAATACTGCATTTTAATTTGTGATCTTGCTTTTTTATTACTAATAAAAGACATTTTGACAATTAATCACAGAAAATCTTATTCATTTAGCTCAAAGTTAAAGTTAAGGGCTATATTGGTCCTCCTGTCATTTTTGATAGGACTAATTAGTCCACTATGTTATGTTAGTGTTCGAGGACAAACTTTACATGTTAAGGAAATATTTTATTTCTTACCAATGCAGCGCTTTGGACATATAGGTCCTGATAATGTTTTCCTTCACTACTAATCACATTTTAAATCAGTGCTTACAATTTTCATTGGTGTGGTTGGGGATTAACCAACTACATTTGCTTGTGTACTGTTAAATTTACGGTAAGAGCTATGCCCTTGATCTACCACAGCACATTCATTATAATGTTGGACAAGCTTCATCTTCGATCTTCAACTATATAACTTTGTACCAGATTTCTGCACACATACCTATATTTTTCATTACATAGTATGGGTTTATGCAAAATGTTTCATTCATTTTTTTTTCTTTCAGCCTGGAATATTACAACCAATTTTACCGGAACTTGAACTTTTACTACGAACTTGGATATTTAAATACTCATTATGTGATAAAAACTGTACATTTGGACAAGAAATGCTGTCCTTAAAATATAACAATAGCAATATTTCAAAAAGTAAACTTTATTGGTACTATGGCTACACAGTTGGCTTAAGATATCTTAGAGATAGAGCATTATATAGTTTAACATCAAACATTAAAGTACAATATTTTTTCAACAAATTGGAAACTTTTCAGTTATTTGGGGATATTTTTAATTTTCTTAGGTTCATTCAAACTGGAAAACATCCTTTATTAATAGATTTCATCCTGGGTCTTGAATTGACAGCTGATAAACTTGCAAGGGAAGATCTTACTGATCTTTCATGGACTCGTGAACTTCTGTGGCATAATCTTATTGTAAGTACTTTGGAAGTTTAAGTGTTGCAAATAAGTTTAACAGCAAAAATTAAAACAATGTTCAATCCATACAAAATTATTGTCTTAAATATTAATTAAGATTTTATTTGTTTAAAGGCTTATTGCATTTTTGATTTTGGTAAATATTACAGGAGTTAATTGGTACAGCAATATCATTGATAAATTTATTTGGATTAAAGAGAAGATTAAGCAATATATTGAAATATGTTTGGTGGCGTAAGAACGTGTGTGCTATTAGCAATTTAGGATCACCCATAATGACATTAAACACAATTTGTGCTTACTGTTCTAATAAACCAGTCCTACCTCATATAATGGGTTGTTCACATATTTTCTGCTACTACTGTTTAATGGTAAGAAAAGTCAATTTTTAATAATATTTTACATGAACAAGTAGTAGTAATATAATATAATGCTTCCATATTTTAATTTTAGGCTAACAAGACCGCTGATCCAGATTTTGTATGTCCAAAATGTTATTATAATGGGAAAAATGTATTTAAATTTATTATGCCATGACAGTAGAGAAGTATAATTTCTATTATGTAAGGCATTATTTTAAATTGGAATAGTACAGGGCTACAAAGGAAATATTATAAATAGGTTGTTATAGTATAAGGGTGATAAATAGTAATATATGTAAATAGTAATATATTTCAAAAAGGTTACAAGCATAAGTATTTATATAATAAACTTTTTTATTTGAGCACTATTTGCATGCCTTGCCATTTTTTCATGTATTGCGATCTGCAATGTCAGTACACCTACTCCTAGACCATTTGTCCCTAAGTTACTGCAAAACAAGTTTTTAAAACTGCATTTTTATATAATTTAAGTGCAAATGCCACAACTAAATTAGTTACAGGGTCTTGAGTGGCCGAACATCAGAAAAGACTGAAGAGAATTGCTTGTATCTTGTATCTCTGCCTTTAGGCACATGTAACTTGCCTCATGCATGTTTTAAACATGTCCACATCAATCTTATGGGGGCATTTCCACTATAGTAAGGCTTTACTACCTCGCTGCAGTTGATTGCTTTACACAATGACTGGAGGTTGTATCAATCATGGACGTAACTGCTAAAACCATTGCCAAAATATTGCTGTCGGGATGCATTACTAGGTACAGCTGTCCAACAGACTTTGTCACAGGCCTCAGTCAACATTCTGCTCTGTTCCAATACCGGACCATAATGAGTGGGTTCCAGTTTAAAAGAACAACAGCTTACAATCTGGCATGCAATGGTTGTTTCCACATGCAGCTCAAAGCAACAATTTTGTGCCATGCAAACTATTTGTACTGCATTTAGTGAAGAATTACAATTTTTCTGCTGAACTGTTTTATGGAAAATCATTTAGTGCCTAGTGAATCTTTCAGCGCAGTTGGATAATTTTGCTGAAATATACAGCCTATCCCAGCTTCATAACATAAAAGAAAAGACTTGAGTGTGTATAAGGATCTTAAAACTAGCAAATAACTTACTGCGACAAACTTTAACTGGCTTATATTTTAGCTGGCAATAACAGTTACTGCCCCACACAGACTGCATCCTCAGAAAATGTTGAAGTATCATCTAACAAGATCTGGAAGACTAAGGTTCCGAGACTATTATCGGATTGCTTCTGGGGACGAGTGTATGTAGGCGGCTTTCCTCCTTTATACATACCCACTCATATAAATACACATACATGGCGATGAGGGACGATGAATGCGCTGCCCAGAAAGTTTTTTTTAATAGGATAGAGTGACAAACGAGCAAACAATCCACCTGATGGTAAGTGGTTGCTGTGGCCCATAGACATCTACATCTATCCTCGACTACGATGGAATGGCTCATTTGCAGTAAAAAGGATCTCCGGTTCTCTACACTCACCATACGAAACATAGCAGCATTAAGCTACTATTTTACGCTGGTATTCTGTTAAAACGTGGTCCTTCCCTGGTCGAGCCGACCCATTCGTGCTACAACTATACTACTTATATAACTGCAGCATGGCTCTACCACGTAGAAAAGTACCACCCTTTAACCCATCTGGCAAGATTATTACTATTTACTGCGCCTGCGCACTACGCTTACCAGTCTCAACTAAAGTTGTTCAAAACGACTATAAATCAATAACACGCTACAGACTATAAACTATAAATTTCTAGCGCGCTATTGAATACGTTATATTATAGCGCGCTATTTATAAGAAAGCGTGTGTGAGGCCGACAAGCGAGTAAAGTTTTGCAGCACGCTAAATTTCGTAGTACGTTTCATTACATGTAGTTCGTTGGATAGACCTCGGGCTTTATAAGAACGTTATTTCTTAATACGTCGCATTTTAGACCAAAAACCAATAAACACATTCATACTTTTCAGGCTTACAACTATATATAATCGACGTAAACGTTATTTTAACCTTAATGTAAATTATAAATCAATTAAAGAGTACTTAAAAATGGATTGATTGTATATACAAAATTTATATACACTACTATATACAATTTTGTTCTATATTTTATTTACATTTGAAAACATTAGTTAGGCTACTTTTGTAGCAGACGACCGTCTCTTTCGATCACTTATAAATATGAAGTATACATTAACTAAATAACGTTTAACTCTCAGTCCCGTGCAATGATTAGCGTACTGCTATAGCAAATTTGCGTCACACGTACACTCCCAACAGCGCTGCTGTTAGAACTAATTGCCGCTAGATATTAATAACGCCAAAGCGCCATAGCGCTATGGCGACTACTTACGTAGCACGTGCTATACGCTATAGAAAGATAGCGCGCTATAATATGGCGCTATGTGGTATATTAATTAACCACCATTGGTCTCAACCGATACGACACGGAAGCGAAACGCATGTTGCCTACTACTGTCACTGCATTTTAGTGTATACTCATCTATTTTGGCTTCAATTTTCTTTAGACTATTGTTTGTGTTGTATATTCAAAGTTATAACTGAGTTGTGGACCTATTTATTTTCAACCTAACATCATAAATTTTTTTACCATCCTGTAAGGCACTTCCAATTGAATTCGCACCTTGGAACTTCACATTTATTCTAAGAGCATTATGCAACCACAGGAGAGTTGAGTAGTTTTAATTTAAATTCAATTAATAAATGTATAAATTAACATGTGTTTTTACTTTATATTTTTAACACTAAACTTCACTACAGTTAGAAATTTACAGGAAATCAATATCAGGTAAGTAGGGGGTCTACCCAACATTGAAAAACATGGCAAGGGGTCTACGACACAAATAAGTTTGGGGAACTCTGTACTAGAGGTAAAGTTTTGGTTGTCATAGTTTTAATAAGCCAATACATACATATACAATAGCGCCACCTACTTACTGCTAAATAAACTTATAATAAGTACATATCTGGTCTAATTAAACACAAGTCTATTATATAATATGTACTTATTGTTGCAGCATCAAAAATTGTCAGACCGGTATAGACCTGTGGCCACAGTCTGCATGTTTTATCATAATTGTAAATTATAGCAAAATTACCAACAAAACTGTACACAAAACTTTGATTAAGAGAGAAGGTCTTTAGTTGAATATGTTGTGTGTCTATCGGCATAGTAATATTTTACCAATTTCTTTTTGTATCAAGTCTGATATAAGTAATTGAAAATTAAATAAACTATGAGATTTATATTCATAATTGGTGGAATAGATCGTGATTCTGTTGATGCAGTCTTTTTTACTTTTATTGAGATTTATAAAGCAGTTTGTCATATATTAATATAGCTTTCATATTTTCAGACTATTTACTAATAAAAAAATTTTGACAGTTCCGGTTGCATAGCTCACATGAGTAAATGAACAGGTTCTTATCAAAAAGTACTATAAATATCAAAAAAAAAAACATTTTAAACACGGGTTTATTTTAATTTTAACACTGATAGAATCTTGAAAGTCATCTGACTAGTCATAAGCCTGTAATCAAACCGATCTAAACATTAATTTCATAGTTGGTACATAAGTTACTCAAATTAGATCCGCGCCGACTCCACTCATATTTTAACTGTAATTTGAAGATTCGATTTACCACTTTCTCGGTGGTGAAAAAAAACATCGCATGAAATCTGCATACTTATGTGAGAAGTTAAAAAAATATTTCGGAAATTATTTTTAGGTATAGGCATGTGAAGTCGGTCATCCAGCGTTGGATTCAACTTAATCAACTCCTTTTTGATCTTTCTGTCTCGCTGTGGCCTGTGCCCAGTAGTGGGATGTATTTAGGCAGCAACTTTTTTATTTTTAATAGCTTTCCACTGCTGATCACAGGCTTCCCCCATTGTATGACAAATAGACCGGGAATTGGCAGTAGTATTCACGCTTGGCAAGCGGGTTGGCAACCGCAGCTCTTTATTAATTTGCGCTGTTATCAAGAAGATGTTACCCATCTCCTGTTTCAGTTTCCCTCTGTCGCCTCTTAAGACACCTACGCGACGAAATGGGGTAGTGGTTTCTTTTTCGACGCCTCTACATGGCTAATGTATTATTTCTACTCCCATTCATCAATTGGATTTCCAGTAGTTAAAAAAGATGTATATTTGCCATAGCAGCCACGCTTGGCATGCGAGTTGCCAACTGCATATTTTTAATATTTTGAGCTATGATCAGGAAGACGCTGCTGCCCATCTTATGTACTTAGATTTCTACCCCTGATGAATTTAGTTCTTCTCACAAGTTCTCCGTGAATAGAACTACATTTATGAAATTTTGAAGCCTACTCGAACGTAAAGAAAATACTGGCATGTGATGCTAATCAATATTAAATGGGACCAATATTAATAAAGACATGGCTTTAAAGAAATTAAACCTTATTTGTATCAAGACTATATCAACATTAATAATGAATATTATGTAAACAACTCATTTCCGGTTCCAGGACAATTTTCCTTAAAGACACATCGGAAGCCCGATATAAAAAAGTATTGCTTGACGTATGATATTTATGCGATTCTGATAAACTAACTTATGTGGTTCTGTAGCCTAAATATTGCTAATATAGACACAGATACCGACGTGTCTCTACAAGTGATCCAGTTTCGCAAATTTTTACGAAATAGTATTATCGATGTTTCTAAATTCAAGCCCACGCGATCGAAGCCGCGGGTATAAAGCTAGTTGATTTATATGTTACACTAGATTAGTAATTACCGCTCCAAAGCGTTGCCACTGCACATATGGCCACAGTCATATGCCTAGCTAACGTCAGTTCAGTGTTCAATGTGACGCCGACAGAGTTGACCCCAACGATCCGCGACAAAAATGGGTAAATGTGTAGTGAAAGAATGCGATTCAAGGTCACAAAAACATAATAAATCAAGCGGAATCACTTTCCACACGTAAGTTCATGTTTTCACATAAACGTAAAAACCTCAAATAATTAAATAAAATTATCGAATGTTGCGATTTAGGTTAAATGTTGCCACTTTTCCACCTTTGTGATTATCCCACATTCACGGGAGACTATATAATTAATCGAGTAAGTTAATTTGTTACC